AAGAAGTCAAAGATGGGGGTGCCAACTTTGCATAAAAATAATAATAATGACTACCATTGATGTCAACACCATCATGGGTACTTTACACAGATTATCGCAATAAATCTTCACAGCACCCTTTACAGTAGCTACTGTCACTATTCCCATTTTACAAATGAGAGAAATGTGGCACAGAGAGGTTATGTAACCTGCCCAAGGTCACACAGCTATTTAAGTGGGGAACTATGATTTGAACCCAGTCATCTGGCTCTAGTTGGAATTGGCAATAGACATGGGTACCAGCTTGGATTCCGCCCCAGACTAGCTGGGGGTTCTTAAACAGGCTATTTAACTTTTCTGAGTCTCAGTTTTCTCATCTGTAAAGTGGAGATGACAATACCCAGCTCACAGGGTTTTATGAGGAGTTTTAAACAAAATGACCTTTGCAAAGTGCAGAGTTGGTGGACTGGAAGGTATCGATGGCTGCAGAGGAAGGGATCTGGATGAATCAAGCCGGAAGCCAGCAGAGGGACTTTTCACTCTGCTGTGACTGCTCTGTGCAACCTAATCACCAAAGGGCTCAGCCTGTGAAGCATCAGAACTACAAGTCATGAACGGCCAAGATGCTACTCTGACGCCAGCAGCCTCTCACATCCATTCACCTGTTCATACTCTGGTGCTGGGATGCGAGGAAGGGATCTGGATGAATCAAGCCGGAAGCCAGCAGAGGGACTTTTCACTCTGCTGTGACTGCTCTGTGCAACCTAATCACCAAAGGGCTCAGCCTGTGAAGCATCAGAACTACAAGTCATGAACGGCCAAGATGCTACTCTGACGCCAGCAGCCTCTCACATCCATTCACCTGTTCATACTCTGGGCCTGGCACGGTGCTGGGATGAATCTCGAACAGGATGGACTCGCTCTCATGGAGTTCACATTCTTCAAAGAGGGATAGATTATTACCCACCCACCCCAAAAAGTGAAAGCAAACAGTTTAATTTCAGATCCTACTAAGGGCGGCGAAGAAATCGCCTTGTGACCTGAGTAAGTCATTGGCCTAACCTTCTCTGGGGACCTCGCCCGGCATTCACAGCACAGTTCCTCTAGTCCCGATCAGCAAGGGCATTCTGGGCCCCTCTCTCTCCCTTAACCCTCACCAAGAGGAAAACTCTTGCCCTGTTATTTCCCAGAGAAAACTCAATAGCCCAAAGGATGCGGAACAGTGGGAAGGGGAGGAGGGTACAGCCCCAGCGCCCTGAAGGAGGCTGGAACCGAGCGCGGGGCTGGGACATCCCTAACCTGCTCCCTGGCGGCTGTGCCGGGCCAGGCGCTGCTCGCTGGGGCGCTCAGGGTGGGCGCAGGGACCGTCGCTGCTCTCCGCTCCGGGCCGACAGGGAGCGGATGCCACTCGGCCTCCTTTCCTCCCCTCGTTCGTTTGACACCCGGAGACAAGCCTGAAAACCGACCTGGGACCCGTTACCGACAGTTCTTGGGGCAGGGTGGGGAGCGGGGCTGTCCCTCCTCCGTCCAAGCGCGGGGTCTAGGCTAAAAGGGGTCAGGAGGCTGCGCTCCCGCCCACCCTGCTCCTGGCAGCGCTGCGCCCGGCCTTGCTCTGACTGCCGGCCTCGACTCTGACAGCTCGGGGTGC